GCAAGTAAATTTTTGCTTAAGAAAATTCAAAAACCAGTGAAGCAGTACAATGACAGGGAACTGCTAGAAATTCAAGCTGGATTTAGAAAAGGATGTGGAATGAGGAATATAATTGCTGACATCAGATGCATCTTGATTAAAAGCAGACAGCACCAATAAGGTGTTTACTTGTGCTTTACTGACTATGAAAAGAATTTCAATAAACTATAAATAATATTTCAAAGCATTTTATTCCAGAGTAATTAAGTGTGCTCATGAGGAACCTAAACATAGACCAAGAGGCAGTCATTAAAATAGAGCAAGGGGGTACTGAATAGTTAAAAATTAGGAAAGGTGTGCATGAAACATACATCTTTTCATCATACTTATTCAATCTGTATGTACACTAAGCAAATAATCTGATAAATTGTATTATATGCAGATCAACATGGCATCAGCATTGGAGGAAGAATCATTAGTAACATGTGATATGCAGATTATATAACCTTGGATGCTGGATTATAAATTGTTAAATGCCACTGAGTCAATTCCAACTCATAGAGACCCTGCATAGGGGTTCCAAGAAGTGGCTGGTGAGTTTGAACCACTAACCATGAGGTTCAAAACAATCTTTCAATCCAGCACATTAACCCACACCATTATACCATGCCTCTGCTCCACACTAGGACTCGGCACTACACCATGAGCCACACAATCAAAAGCCTTTGCATAGTCCATAAAGCACAGACAAAATCTTTCTGGTATTCTCTGCGTTCAGTCAGGACTCATTTGACATCAGTAATGATATCCCTTGTTCCACTTCTTCTGACTCCAGCTTGAACCTCTGAAAATTCTCTATCACTGTATGTTTTCTTTATTATCTTCAGCAAAATTTTGCTTGCATGTGATATCAAAGATATTGTCCAATGACTTCTGCGTGCCATTGGATCACCTCTCTTCGAATGAGCACAAATATAGATTTCATCCAATTAAGTGGCCAGGTAGCTGTTTTCCAAATTTCTTGGCATAAATGAGTGTGTGCCTCCAGTGCTGTATCAGTTTTTTGTGTTTTTTTTTTGTTTTTTTTTAAAGATTTGCATTTGTATTACATCAATTCCTGAAGCCTTGTTCCTTGACATTGTTCTTTAGTGTGCCTTAGACATCTTCCTGCCATATAATGGCTCTTGATCATAAGTTGTCTCTTGAAATTGTGGAATGTCAACCATTTATTTTTGGTACACTGACTCTGTGTATATCTACTTCCAGGACTTTGCACATTTTATATCAATATTTGACTTTATCTTCTTGAACTGCCTTTTGTAGTTTCTATTAAGCTGCTTTACCTCCTCATGCAAACTCCCTCTTTTAGCAATTAAATCATAAAATCCTATGATCAGGATCCTATACACATTTTTCACTAGACCCATCTGGAAAGGAAGAAAACTAATCAATAGGGATTCTACCATATCCCTTTTATTCTGAAATGGATTACACAGCACACTAATGAAAAGTTGTAAACAGTCCCTTTATGCCAGTCCCTTTATTTGTTGTTGTTGTTGTTATGTGCCAGCTAGTCAGTTCCAATCCACAGCACCCCTGTATAGGGTTTCTGAAGAGCAGCTGGTGAGCTTGCATCAACAACCTTGTAGTTCAAATAAACTTTATAGCGCCCACCAATTTTTGTTAGCCAATGTGTAAATTACCCATCCCTATCAACCCAGTTGATAATGGAGCACTGGTAGCATAGTGGTTACGAACTGGACTGCTAATCTGAAGGTTGGCAGTTCGACACTACCAGAGGTTCCATGGGAGAAAGATGAGGCATTCTGCTCCCGTAAAGATTTACAGCCTCGGAAACCCTGTGTAGGGTCACTATGAGTCAGAACCAACTCCACGGTACTTAACAACAACAACAACAATCAACCCAGTACACTGAAGAGACCAGCATGTTTTTTGATCCGATAAATCTTCCATTCAGGTTGTAATTTTGAGCAACTACATCTGCAAGCAAAATTTCAATTTATCAAATTGCAGCAACTGACTCTTGCTCATAATATTAAACTTCTTTACCTTCACTTGATTAGGATCTGGTTACAAATCAACGCTAGCCATCCAAACTAGGTCAAATGGGTACCAGGTACAAGTTTGGGAGTTCACAAACACCTCCCTGCACTTCAAACCAACTGTTGCTTTACTCTCAGCCCTAGTGCCCATGGGATCAGGAGTTCACCAACTTCCTAAACTGCAGACTAATCGGCATTCACTTTCCTTCTTATCTCAAGGTCAATGGTATCAGTAGATCATGTCCTACTCAGCCTGTGTTTTTATTGTTATATTTCTCCCAATTCCACTCATATGTAGAACCAGGTGGTCACCAGCAAGTATATGGCTCCCATTCCCTTTAACTTTCAGTCCTAGAAGGGGAATTTATCTGATGAACCAACTTTCTTTGCTTTTATGCCTCTGAAACTGAAAATGTCAAACTATCTGTTTTTTCCCTCTGCTTTCTTTCAGTGAAGAATCTCCTGTTCTACCAGCAATTATGGGTTGATCTGCATGTCTTTTCAAATGCAATGTCCCAACTTTAAAGGCTCTGGTTTGGGCTCAGGATTCTACCTAAAGCCTCACACTCTTGTTGTTGTTAGGTACCTAATCCTCCACCTTACCAAAGGTGATATCCTTTTCCAGAAACTGGTCACTCCTGACAATGTGTCCGAAGTATGAGAGACAAAGTTTGGCCATCTTGGCCTCTAAGGAGCACTCTGACTGCACTTCTTTCAAAATGGGTCTATTGGTTCTTTTGGCAGTCCATGGCACTTTCAATATTCTCCTCCAACACCATGACTCAAAAGCATCAATTCTTCTACGGTCTTCCTTTATCACTGTCCAGATTTCACATGCATTTGAGGTTATTGAAAATACCATGGCTTGGGTCAGGTGCACTTTAGTCCTTAAGCTGACATCTTTGCTCTTCAATACTTACCGTGTTCAACTTCCTCTGACTCTATAAGAGGGAGAAGACCAAACTTAAAACTAGCTCAAGGTTCATTCCTATGAAGCGAAGGTCAGATGTGACTCCACCCTATATCTGTGCCTTTAAAGGGTAGTCAGACTTAAGAACCAATTTACAAACTCATCCTTAAGATTTTTTTTTCTCTAGAACCCGCTCTCTGGGTACTACATGTCTTAGGCCAGGTTTTCTAGAGAAGCAAAACCAATACAACATATATATATATTGTTGTTGTTGTTAAGTGCCGTCGAGTCGGTTCCGACCCATAGCGACCCTGTACAGGGTTTCCGAGGGTGTAAATC